TTTCTAAAAAATAATATTAATTCTTTGAAACATAATATTTTTCAAAAACTATTATTTTTTGCAAAATAATATATAGTTTCTCAAGAACATATAAATTCCCAGGAAAATATAACTTTTCTTTAAAAAAATAGTTTTCAAATAAATAGCTTACGCATTTTATTCATGAGTTTTCAAATGCCAAAACTACTAAAGTAATTGAAGCTTAATTAATGACCCTTGCTAACAAAACCCATAAAGTTTATAATTTGTAAAACATAAAAGTTAAAAAAATTAAGAGAAAACAGTTAAATTGATATTAAGTCTGAACATGAATGTTTTGGGTGTTTGGGGAGAAATTGGGCCCAATCTAGAGTCGATGGGCCTTAAACAGAAATTAGGAATCAATTTTAACCAAAAAGCTATAGCTATCAGGTATTGACCTAAACTCCTATTTAAATTCATCACTATTTCTTATCTTATCCGATGTGTGACTATACTCACATGTTAATCACCTCAATAACTCTCCCTTAATTTGTGAGTATAGTTCAATTCAACTATAATTCAATCTTCCACGGAATTCACTAAGTTTTGGACCACTTTACTTGTAGGCTAACCAATTCACAAACTTTTGTCATGTTGGCTAACTAGACTATATCACTCCTACGGGTATCCGTGGATTCTCCCGAAGATTATCTTTTTTTTAATTACTTGGACCATGACCTTAGTTCTGATACCATTGTGAGGGGGAAATCGTGTCCAATCTATAGTTATCAGGTATTGACCCAAACTCCTATTTAAACTCATCACTCTTTCTTATCTTATCTGATATGGGACTATACTCACATATTAATCACCTCAACATTGAGGACTAATTTCTTTATACGAATTAAAGATGACCCTTTTTAAATTTTTTTAGAAAATTTTTACTCTTTCTAAACTGCAAAAGAATACTAAATCTGAAATTATATAAATTCTATTTTGTTATTTAATTTTATTTGTTCAGTTTTTTATTCCGAAAGTTTTGCCAGATGGATATCAATATTAAAAGGTTAACATATATACAATATTTCTCTACAAAAAATAAGATTACAGATTTTGTTGATCAGAAAATAAGTAAACAAAAAGGATTATTTACAAAGTATTCCTTGTATCACATGAACTATATTTTTTTTAATATTATCTAGTTTTCTTATATCCATTTTTTATCTGCATACATATCAGCATGTATATCTATATCCATATTTGATTTTAGCAGATATAGATATGAATTCTGCTTACGGAGATATATCCGTAATTGTATCTGTATCCATGATAAGTAAGCGGGTGTAGATATAATAAGTATCATATCCGACCTACTTAAAAGCAATAATTCAATTAAAATAAGAAACTAGCACTGATATGCATATTAAAAGAATAATCAAATTGAATTTTTGATTCAATGAACGCGACCTGAATCCAAGCGCTTGGGGCCATGGTAGTTCTCCCGTGAGTCACTAAGTCCAAATCAGCGGATGAAGTGGGCCCGCAGCACCCTGATTTGAACTTAGTTTATGGAATAAATGGATACAATTGTCATGGCCCGTAAAGTTCAGAGCCGAGGTAGCCCAGGTTTGTTCATGCCTTCCCAGCGATTATTATTTTGGATGACTCCGTAACGAGTCTTGCTTGGCGAGCTCAGCCAAGTCCCACAATTATATTTTTATAATTAAATGGGCGATCGTCAACAATTTATTTGAATTGAAATCTTTTTCATCTTCTTTTTTATTTTTCTAAAACTTAATAGTAGTGAATTAATAGTCCGGGGTTACAAAAGAATCACCCTTATAGGAGTGAGGCACTATAAACGAAATAACAGAAGTTCCCAAATTAACCCTCCAACAATCATATCCCGCATTCTATAGTAGAATCTGAATCTCTACTAATAAAAATAGAGAAATTTCGTAGCAACAATATATACTGGTTTAATAAATCAACACTAGTGGCCGTCAAAATAAGCTGCCGCCGTTCGCTTAAGATATTATGAGACAACAACAAAAGATCCCAAACGATAATAAAAGTAGGAACTACGAGACTTTCTCAGTTTGTTCTGAGCTTTAAATCCATTTGGACAATGCAGGTAGTGGTTCAAGCTCTTTTATTTGCAAATTGTCGTATTGGATCCAAAACGTTGGATAATATATGAATAAATAATATCGTGAAGTGTTAAGATATTAATTAATATGGACGCCGACTTCATAATGAGAGTAGAACAAAGAAAGTAGGGAATAATTAAGGTGACAAGTGCTAAAAAAAAAAAAATCTAAACTAATTTCAGATTTATTAGCCACTACTCCACTAACAAAATAACAACTAAAGACTAAGTCAACTTTGAATCATTCTTCAACACTCCCCCTTGATTCAAAGTTTCTTGTCAATCCTTTTGAATCTTCATAGAGCACTTCTCTCCATAATCTTGTAAAGCACTTCTCTTCACTTTGTGATGCACTTCTCATTGTTGAAGAATGATTCAAAGTTGACTTTGTCTTTAGTTGTTATTTTGTTAGTGGAGTAGTGGCTAATAAATCTGAAATTAGTTTAGATTTTATGGTGATTAAGTTGTTTTGTAAGCCTATATAAAGGCACTTTTAGTTGATGAATAATATAGAAAAATTATCTCCTCATCTACTCTCTAATTCCCAACATGGTATCAGAGCTCCAAGTTTCTTGGGTTTGTGAGGATTTTAAAAAAATATAGAGTGATGTCCTCTTCAAAAACGAGGAGAGGGGGGATAAAAACCCTAGCCCTAAAATCAATGGCGGAGGCGATGATGAAGAGCAAGGCAGCGGCTTTAACCGTCGCCGAGAGATGCAGAAGCATTTTGGGTGCAAATTCCCAAGCTCACCTCAACACCATCAAAGTCGACTCCTAAGGCAGCAAGAGTGAGATTCACACTTCGAAGGTGCACTATATTTTCAAGAGGGGAAAGCCTTACCTCTGGGTTCATGAAGGAGACTTGCATAATACCAACATAATCATTGATGAGCGAGGTTCTCTTTCTGTCAGCAATGTCGTTCCAGGTCCACTTACGGGTTTGCTCAAATCTATAAGAAAGCTGCCAGCTTGTGCTGTTTTAGCGGGTGACGTTATACCTCTTAAAAAATAAATTTTATTCTAGAAATCATGGTGAGATGTGCGCCATGGAGAGATTGAGAGAAGTGCTCATTTAAGAAATGTTGGTGATTATGTGCGTCAACAAGTTTGAGATGAGAAGTGCATCACAAAGTGAAGAGAAGTGCTTTACAAGATTATGGAGAGAAGTGCTCTATGAAGATTCAAAAGGAATGACAAGAAACTTTGAATCAAGGGGGAGTGTTGAAGAATGATTCAAAGTTGACTTTGTCTTTAGTTGTTATTTTGTTAGTGGAGTAGTGGCTAATAAATCTGAAATTAGTTTAGATTTTATGATGATTAAGTTGTTTTGTAAGCCTATATAAAGACACTTTTAGTTGATGAATAATATAGAAAAATTATCTCCTCATCTACTCTCTAATTCCCAACACTTTGGGATGTTTGGTTTGGGGCGTGTAGAATATAGTAACTTTGTTGCTTTCAAATGGTAAAGACAGAAGGGCTAAAAGAAGGTTAACTTGGTTAATCTATCAGTTTATACAGTTTAAGCCTACTTTAGTCAATTTTTTAGAAGAAAAATGATAGGGGCACACCCCAACCACATCCCAAACCACACCTCCTCTCTCATATGCTACAGTGCACCGGGCCTCACATGGGATTTTAAATTTTAAAATCCCATGTGAGGCCCGGTGCACTGTAGCATATGAGAGAGAGGGTATGGTTTGGGATGTGGTTGGGGGTGTGCCTCTAGTGCCACCCTTTTTAGAAGGCTGGTGAAAATGGATAGATGAGGAGAGAGAAAATAATTTTTTTTTTGACGTTATCATTTCACTTTGTCATTATTTATTTCATACTGTTCATATTGTGACAATTGTCAAAACTAATATTGTTATGCAAGTCCAAGTTTTTTGGCCCATAATAAGGGTACTCAACCCTACGAGCAGTAGCGAATCTAGAAAAACGTTTTTAGAGGGGTGAACCGCACATAATTTGTTTAGTGGTTATATAAGTAAAATTCAAATGGGCTACTCAATGCAAATTGGGTGCAAAATTTTAAAACTATGTAGAGGGTGCAAATTGCAATTTTAGAAGCTTAAAATGTAAATTTAAAATTGTTAAGGTTGCAGCTGCATCCCTACGTCCAAATATAGATATGTCCCTTCCTAAGTGGCATTGAGAGAATATAATTATGGGTTGATGGGCTGAAAATATGACTCACGCAGAGATATCAACGTGGGATTTGAAGCTAGGTTGTTCTAACACCATGTCAAAAAAAACTTGACACTAAACTAAAACTCTGAAATTATGATGAGGACTAAATGTTATAGTTTTATGTTCTAACAACAACCAAATAAACATAATGAAGTGAATACCACATCAACTCTTATCTAATTTTACTTTTTAGTAATTTGAACAGCATTTACAAGTACAAAAAGTAACGAGAAAATGCCTTTCAGAAAACTATTTTCTCTTAACATTTTACACTCCCTAAAATACAAATTCAGAGATGTATATGTCAATTTTCAAAAGGGTATGCCACCTCAAACTTTGACATGAAGGAAAATGTTGCACGCAAGCATTACATGTATTTTTCCTTTCTAATAAAATAATTATAAGTACTTATGTTAATTAATAATTACAAAATATTTTTAACGTATTATGTTTAGAAAAAAAAACATCAAGATATTACGAAAATCAATATTAAAAGAAACTACGTTAACGGAATTTTTTTAATTTAACCTTTGATTTAAATGCTCAATTGAATAGGATAACAAGAAGAGCATTTCTCAAAAATAGCTAGAGAACCTCCAAAACAAACTCAAATCACACATTCTATACGGACGCTCGCATAGAGAGGGAAAGGAAGAAAAAAACCCTCTACCATCTCCAACCGTTCCGTTCTGTTATTTCGAGAGGTCCGGTCACCGCCACTATCAAATTTTCATCGGGTTCTCGTCACCGCTCTCTCCTCAAGCTCCGACGTGGGGGGGGAATTTTACCAATTAAAAATCCCATTAAACCCTTAATAAAAACAAGGGTTTAATGGGAGGAAAATCATCAAAGCTCGAATCCCCTGCGGCCACGAGCACCTCCTCGACTCCCGTTACTCTTAACGTCTACGACCTAACGCCGTTAAACAAGTACACGTATTGGTGCGGTTGGGGGATTTTTCACTCGGGAATCGAAGGTAAATAACTTGCAATTAATTTGGAAATTGATTGTGAATGCTGCAAGTTTTCTTCAATTTTTTTGTAGTTTGGTGTGATTAATGTGGTAAAGGTCACATTTTTGGATTATAGGAATCTTAATTTTGATAAATTTGCTCCATTAGGGTTAACAGTAAAAGGTGACATTTTATAATCTTATTGCTATAGCAGCGGCGATACCTTTTGGGTTGTGAATCTTGGTGAAATGTCGATAATTTCTGATGAATGTTCTGTAAAAAAATTTGTTGCTGGTGTCATAATAAAGCTTTTAGATTTTTTTTGGGCAGGTAATGGCTTTTTTATTAGAAACTGATGATTTCGAATGGCGAACAAGCTTTATGCTTCTTTGTAACTTACCATGAAAATTTTAATATTTTGCTGTTAGGAATAAGGAGGAGGTGAATGTAATGATTTTCTTGGCATCATTGATGTACTAAGATTTTCTTGCGGGAAACTACATTAACTTTGATGGATTTTGTAAAATTTACATTTTCAGGGGTACTGACTACTTAGACCTCTATGTTGAATCTTTGTGCAATCTTAATAGTTTTGATGAATGCTGCAGAATCTGCGGCCTTTACGCCATATAAATTCGCAAGTACAAATTTTATCAGAACAATTTCTTTCCATGCGGGGGTGTTCTAATGAGATTTGTATTGAAGACGGCCTTTCTTGGCATTGTAATGGTGTGATGATGGATATTATTGATGCATAATGATAATCAAGTATCAGATTTATTCATTATATCAATAAAAACCCCACATAACTATAGTTTCTCCTTCATTAATCTTGAACAGTTTATGGAATGGAGTTTGGTTTTGGAGCCCATGATTACCCAGCAAGTGGGGTGTTTGAGGTGGAACCAAAAACATGTCCAGGGTTTACCTACAGATGTTCTATACCGTTGGGTTATACGACCATGCTTCCTTTTGAATTCCGAGAGTTTATTGAGAATATGGGTTCACAGTACCATGGAGATTCTTATCATCTAATGTTGAAGAACTGCAACACCTTCACTGATCATGTGTGTTCCCAATTGACAGGAAATCAAATCCCTAGATGGGTTAATCGCATGGCTTACTTTTTCGGTAAGAACTCAAACTTTTCCTTTATTTATACTTCTTTTTTCATGGGATTTGGGATGTATGTTGGACATTTGTTCATTATTTTGCTCCCTCATGCATTTCTGTTTGTGTGAACCTTTCCGCCCTATACCGTTGGGTCATCCTTTTTTTCTTTTTCTTTTGGGCTTTGAGATTTGTAAGAAATAGAGGAGAGGTTCATCCAAATGTTCTTGAGAGGTTGAATGAGTACGAGAGAAGTTAAGGGGAGGGATGGGACCAAGCAGGATGGTAGTATTGTTAAATATGGTACCACTGAAATTATGTTTGGTGAAAATATGCAAATATATTAGTTCGTAAAGCTCATGGTTGTGTTGATTTTTCATTCTATATTAAGTGTACCACAGCATATGTGACTTGATTGTTGATATTGCTTCCTTCATTTTGTCATGTATATATAAATTTAATGCAGTAGATCCATTTAGTTGCATTGGAATTATTAAAATTCTTCGCATCTAAATCATACAAGCCGTGAAACTCCCTAATAAAGGTTTCACTACTCTTATTACTTGCTGACAGCAAACCTGTCCTTCGTCCTCGGGCTATATCTTCGCCTAGGAAAACCATAGACAAGCTAAGAGTTTCGCATATATCCCAATAGTCTAGGCATGCTTCGTTGTCTGTGAAACCTACTTTAATGGCTCCTGATTGTGCAGTTCAAAGCTTGCGCAACCAGCAAGTGATCCTCCAAAACAATCTCGGATTAAGGATGAATATGGAAGAAGGGAAAAAAACGATTGGTATTTTAATAGGTGAATTAAATTCAAATCACAAACAGGTGAGTGTAAAAGAAAACTTCAAAATTAATGCTTATGGATTGCATTGTTTTTCCCTGGAACAATAAAGAGAGGAGGAAACAAAACAAAGGTTTAAAAAAAGTGCTTAAGTTCTATGCTATTTCTCATGTGAATCTATAAATTTATATGCATCACGGAACTGGCTGAGTAATCCTAACTATTTTCAGGTATTTTATGCTGTTGCCTGCTGCCCAAAAACCTCAGCATTGACGCCGTCAGAGGAGAACTTCCCTACCATGGATTGCGGAGTTAGTTTAAAAATTCTCCCACTTCCCCTTAATTTTTTGATACTAGTGATAGGTGGGAAAAAAATAAATGAATGAGAAAAATCTTTGTTGAATCTCTGGATATTTACTCCTATTTTTTACGTGTTTGTGTAGATGCTGGGAGCAGTACTTATTCAGCCAACTCATCCGTTGTAAAAACTGAGAGTGATAGTTCAGGTAATGGTAAGAGCAATTTCTTTCCATCACCGAACTCGGAGACCACTCTTATAGATGCCGATCCTAAGTCCTGAGAGTAAGAGAATCCTAGTAGCCTCGTCTCAACGTGCACAAGTTTTGTACATTTTTTCATTTTTCCAGCTGCCTGCCCTAAAATCTCAGGGTGAAGGCCGTGTTGTCCTGTCAGTTTTCATCTCTGTAGAGAATTTGTTGTTGATGGTGTTGTCTTTTTAGTTGTGAGGGGTATATTGAAGATGATTCTCCTTTGATGTAATCCTGTTGTTTCATTATAATATCATCAGTGAAGCACTTTGACATGTTCCACCGGTTACTACAAAAAAATTTTGTTGTAAATCAATATTCTATTACCGAGCTCCAAATCTTTACCAGATTTACATCCCCACACTTATTTGCTCATCTCCTATAAATGGCAAACACTGATATCAAAGCCGGTGACTAAATAGGACAAATTTATTTCGCCTTCAGACTACTGAGGACTTTGCAAGACTACTGAGGAAGGAGGGCACGTGCATTGCACGTGCTTGCTCCCTGAAATCGTTGTACATATCGCTATTTTATTCTCAATTCTCATAAGCCATTTTGTAGAGGTCCCACTAGTTGCTGATTAATTGCTTGATTTGTAGGACTATTTTCAAAATAACTCAAGAATCCGGGCACCTAATAACAATTTTTGATGATTTGAGGCACTAACATCAAAGTAGCTTATGAATCGGGGAACAAGACCTAACAGCAATTTCCATAATTTGAAGGACTAGTTATAAATATAAAATATCTGAGTGACTATTATAGAAAAAAAAATTGTTATTTGCTGGCTTATATCATTCTGGTACCTCAAGTTTGCCACCTTTTCACTTTGATGCCTCACTTTCTTCTAACACTTCAGCACCCCAAAGTTTTTGATCATGTTTCACTTGGTACCCGATAGTATTTCTTTAACTATTTGATACTCGAGAGTATTTCTTTAACACTTTTGTACCCCAAAGTTTCAATCATATTTAACATTTACAATGAATCTAGACTTTTCGTTAAATTTATATCAAGCCTTTAGTATGTGATTGGCATGTGACATGTTAGATCCATTCTACCCAATTGCTAAGCACGCGATAAAAAGTGCATGTCAGGAAAAAAAAAATTCCATCAGTGGACCACATGGTTCTAATGGATATTGCTGCACTCAGAATATCTGAGGAATATATGATTTTCTAAATTTCTTATGTCTACCGTTATAGAATGGTGCACATTGAATTTCTATTAGGAACCTCAATTCTTAGAAGGCGTTTCAAATAGATCTATGTAGTTGCTAATTATTTTGATTTGAAGGACTCAATTCAAAACTTAAGAATCAGTGCATTTAATAGCAATTTCAATATGATTTCAGGGACTAAGTTCAAACTATCTCGAGAATTTAGGGTCTTAATATAAATTTAACTGATTTGAAGTGCTAACAGCAAACATGAAAGTTTAAGAGACTAACATAGAAAAAAACCTTTTGGTGGCTTATTTTCACCTTGGTACCCTGAAGTTTACACACCTTTTAACTTTGATGCATCAAAGCACTTTTTTAATACTTAAAACCAAACTTTCAGTCTTGCTACCTTTGATAGCCATAATTATTTCTTTAAACACTTTAATACCATAAGTTTAAATTATGTTTTCACTTTAATACCTCATCCATATTTCGACAGAAAATTTCAGTTAAATTTTTGTCACATCCTTAGCCTATGATTACCATGCAATAAATTTAAATCTATTTTTACCTAGTCGCTAAGCATGTGATATAAGCTTAACAAAATATTGAATGGAATATAGACATGGGTATCAAAATGAAATCTCATAGAAACTTTGGTACTTTGTGATTGATTTTCAGTTGAGAGAAAATAGAGGAAGCGAGTATAGATAAGTATTTATATTTTTTTTTCATTGCGTAGAAAGGGGAAATAAAATCATGCATGTGTCTTCGTAGGCTTTTTTATATAACTAATTCTATAAAATACAAAGTTTACGTCTACGAAAAATTAGCTACACATCCTTTAGCATCTAACTACACAATCAATAGTATATATCTATATATCGTAGTATATGCCGCGCTGAACTTTATATTATATATGCATGCGCTATAGTGTATGTAAATAAACATTATGTTTTGGGTGAATGAGAACGTATAGAACCATGGGGGTTGCAAAGTAAATGGGGGGCAAAACATGGATTTATAAGCAAATCCCTATTATTTATTACTCAACCTCACTGGGAAATCACAAGCCCAGTTACGCATAACTACCCAGGGGGTCCCACAAGGTATAAAAAAACATGTATTAGCCACTGCTTGATCGGCCCCACTTGTGTATCGCAAATTTCTAACGGAAAATGATTTAAGAACCCAAAATATGGGACCAAGGAAGGGGACAAGTGATGTGTCCCCTCCCTATTACATAATGAGTTGGTATAGCCAACTCATTATGCAATAGGGAGGGGACACCTCACATGTCCCCTCCCTTGGTCTCATATTTTGGGTCCCCGTAGCAGCACTCATTTCTAACTTGCTCCGCAATCGCATAGGTGGTGGCTTCGGCTTTTTTATATGAAGGGGCATCATCTTTACTCCAGTAAGCAGTAGTTTTCTCAGGCACCTTCATTATATCACCTTCAGAGGAAGAAGGGTATATCCATTGAGTTCGTTTTGGAAAAAGAGGTCACTTGTCTGCATAACACGTTGCCATAAAGCACATTTCTTCTTGTGGAGGCCCTGGAAAAAAAATTACGGTGGGCAAACGAAAGCAAACCATGAAACATCGGTTGCTTGTTGCAACCATTTGCTCGTGAACCAGTCAACATAGCAAGCTCAAATGCTTGTGGCCTGACAGGTAAGTAAGATGCCATCACAAAATTCAACACAGCCGATTGCGTGCAAGAGAAGAATATTATGATACGAGACAGAAGTGCATCATTTGATCAAATTTTTAAGAATGCATGAGCTGCGCTGTAATTTTATCCGAAGCAGGTAAAACAATCGTGAACTACCACATCACTGCAAGGGCATTTTCTAGTTGTAACTGCCCCAGACAACTACCATAATTTCTAATCAAGGTAACAAAAACTCAACGGGTATTTTCTTGATCATAACATTACATCTTAAAATAGACAACTCCAATAGACGTCTCTGACCATGAGAAGTAAACAAAGTTCGATTTATGCCTACTCCTACACTCATCAATAGTATGCAACTTTAATCTACAACCTAAATGTGCCCCCATATACTCTTCACTTCCGAAGCAAATAGACCTTTTGTGCAATCTTAACAATGTCTTCGATTTGCTTATCAACCAACTGCTTCAGCTGCTCCTCTTGAGCTGCTTGATCTCCGTCCAGCGCGCCTGTCGTTTCTTCGCCAGCCTCAGACCACATCACAACAAAAGTCATGTCGTGATCATAATCATTAGGCACTTCAATCAGACGCTTCCCATTTGCCTCCGAATCCTTGTCAAGGATATCGCCTTTCACACGATCTGATACAGAGACCTTGAAGTTCTCCATACACCTGCTATTTTTTGGATCCAGGTTCAGATAGACGAGCACATCCCAGCACTTCATGAATTGCTTTTTGTTGATTTTCAATTTCTGACGTACAACAGCAATTACATGCTGTGGTGGTCCAAACTGGGACTTGGAACTTGATTTGTTAGTTCTTTTTGATAGGTTGTTTTCTTTCAGGTACTGAACAGCAGAATTTATGGCTGGCTTTATTGGTTCAAAATCAAGAAGGCGAAGGGTGTCAATGCAGGCACGCAGATATTGGAGGTAGTCAGATGGTTCTTCGAAAGTCACATCATAAAAGTTCTCAGATACTGCAACAGAATAAATTGATTCAAGAAGACGGCGGCCGTGGCCTTGACCTTGATATGGAGGCAATACAAGTATCTGAGAAGAAAAATGTAAGAAACTGAGATATTTATAAATCAGAAAGATATTACTGATAATTCTTTTTTTTTAATCCAATCATCAGCACACATGTGAATGGAAAACTTGGGTGTAAAAATAACTCCATTATCCTGGAAAATTATCAAGTGATTCAAAATGAAAAAAAAAGCAATAGTTTGTCCCAAAAGTAACTACCACAAGTGACATCTCAGTCTGATAGTTGTTACATCATAACAAATTAGATTACACTCATGTCCTCCACTACATATGTGTACATGTATGGAAAACATGAATATGAGGTGGCAGCTCAATTTGATAAACAAGCTACTAGGAGATAAGCTGGTGCTGAGGCTCACCTTGTAAGTCACACCGAAAGGTGTTGACCTCATCACTCGTCTCTTGGTAGTTCATTTTGTAAAATGAGGCGGCGCCTCATATCCAGCATCAGAGCGTCCTATCTCTGTATATGTGTGTGCTGTGCGTCTATATATACATTACATACACACACATATAGAGGGTTTTCAAGATCAGCAAATAGCCTTGATTAAGTTAATTAATTTATATAATTGAAGGGAGAAGCAGAAAGGAGAGCTGAACACCCATGGCCCTTCCCCATCTTCCCTTCTCTCTCCTTCTATATCTATCTAATTATGAATTAATACAAGTAACTTAATCAAAGGAATATTAATTATTTTGAAATTTGAGGGGTAGATGTGAGATTTTAAGGGTAAATTACCAAAAATCTAAACTAAGTTTAATTTAAATGTACAATAGGTTTGGCGGGTAAATTATCAAATATCTAGATTTGGACGGTAAATTTGTAAATTACAATAAATTTGTGTGCATGAGTGTGCGTGCATGTTGCAGGTGTGGGAAGGTGCATGCAGGTCTACAAGAGGGTTTCAACAATCCATTTTGTGTGAATCTAATAATGTTTGGGGGGGGGGGGGGGAGGCTTGTAACATCCTTCGAATGACGCAGACCAACTTTTAGTGATTCCCATCATTGAATTCCAATAGGAAAGCATTAAAGCCTTTCAAACACTTTCTAAAGGACCCATGTGTGAGTACATATGAACCTGTGAACGTGTGTATGCATTTACTTATCTATTAAGTCCCTACATTCCCTTTGCTTTCAAGTTGTAATGTCGTACAATTAGGACACTCAGACACTGTCTTGCGTCTGGCTAAAATTCTTTATAGACACCATTTCTGATACTGATGACACTTTCCAATTGCTCATGTGACACTCATCCAAAGTACATATGAAAACACCTTTGGTTACAGTTACCGCATGCTCAGAAAACCATTGTCTGAAAGAACTTTGTAAAATGAATACACACACACACACACACACACACACACACACAGACACAGAGACACACACACACATATATATTGATATATATAGAGAGAGAGAGCACTAATTTTAAATATAAGTAGAATTTTATGAGAAAATAAAGTGATTGAACAATTGTTGTGCGCGATTGTGTGCACGTTTGTGTGTGTATGCATCCGCGCTCACCTACGTGTATGTATACCACATATTCTTTAAGAACCATCGTTAAAATAAGCTGTCATGAGGACATCCTACAGATCCATCCACTTTTTTCATCTTGATTCCTACACCACACCTAAGGACGAAATTTTCAAGTGCTTTTAATTTTTTTAATATTGCGCGCATAAATACATGTCTTCCTTTTCTTCTTTCGAAGATTGTGGAAAACATGTATTCATGATGCAAATTGCACCATGCTTCAGTCCCTTGGTAAGCATCAGACAATCAAAGTGACAAATGCCAATCACATACCTAAAATAAGTGACACAACTAAAAGATTATAAAGGAAAATTGTGACTTTGTTCTCCAAGGAAAATATAATTAGTCACATTTCGTCACTAACTGCATGGAAAATAAGAAGGGTGTCAAATTATCCACGTTTCAGCATAACAGTTAAAAGAGAGACAAGAACTAGACATCACAATAAACCAGGTGAGAGAGATATTTCTTGGTATTCATATTGGAAATGTATTGATGAATAGAGTTCCTAGTTTCAGTAGAATTTCATATAAGAAATTTGCTTCAGCTTCTGATGGATACAATTTACTATTTTCTATGTAATTTCCTCAGAAGTAGCTAGAACAAAGACTGTGCAGCAGAGGCCTCTTTGGATCTCATTACACATTCTATTTTCCTTGTAATTTCCTCATTAGGGAGAGATCTTAGGAAAGAACCCTCATATTATGTTCTGCGATGATCACATCTTCCTTCTACAAAATTAGCAAGTTACAAGAACCATTTTGTCAAACTGATGCACTTGTTATCTGTAGTCAACCACAGTTTGACAGGGTACAGGATAAATAACAATAAAGCTCACTAGAAGCAGAAGTACGAATCAGATTAATGCTCGAAAAGCATAGACCCGAACAACTCTTAAATGGGTGCTATCAGGATGGTAGAAGCATTTTGTCAAATCTCTTGAAGACTTGTTCTCTGCGGTCAACCCAGTTTGACAGGGAATACAGTAGATGACAATGATGAAGCACACTAGAAGCAAAAGTAGAAATCAGATTCACTCTAGAAAAGCATATACCTGACCAACTCTTAAACGGGTGCTATCAGGATAGTGATAGAAGCGGTATACAGTAGCAAAACCAAGTAAGTCCATATTGTGAACGCCTGATAGATCATTTGTTTTCTTCACTATGAAATATACATCCCATTTTGGGTCAGTGACATCAACAGGACTGCCACCTGATCAGAGAAAAATAAGCAAGATTTATCAATCAGCAAAATGTAAATACAATAAAGAAAGACTAGTTCAGTACTACAAGCTGTACCTTCAACAAGGAGAAGGACAAGAGGTACCAGACGACTGTAAAGCAAACCAACAGGCATCGCATGTAGATTCATTCGAATAACCTGGTATTGCAAGTGAGACATTCTCAGAAATGAAGAGTTCAGGTACTTGCAAATGAAAGTAAAAGCCTGATGAGAAGAGATGAGCAAGCCACCAACTTACAGATTTTGCTGTGGTACAGTGATTTAAATTTATAAGTATATTACTCTAGTAAGTAGATAACCTAAGTTCTGAAATCTCAGTATTTATAGTGATTATGGTTCACCATTAATAGTACGGGCATCACGAATTCCAGCGATTCCAACAGTATCAAATCCGATTTGTCGCACATGGAATAAGTCATATTTTTATCACCCAGTCTCTGTCCATCATTCCCCCCCCCCCCCCCCTCCACCCCCCTCAAATGTAATACTAAGATCAACTTCTGATGCAAACATCAAAATCTCCTCTCCTATTAGTCATTATTCGCCAATGTCATATTCCTCCTTTATATGTAAAGAGAAATTGGTGGCTGCTCAAAAGGCCTTATATACTGCCGCTTGTCTCTTCTATATTTAATTTGGATTTTTTTTCCTATTTTTAATTTGGGATTTTTGAATAAAGGTTGTGATGAGAATCCTAATCCTCGTGATGAAATAAACTGGAAGTTCAGTCCTGGGATCAAATGCAACAGGTTTACTTACCTTATGATGAAATAAACTGAAAATTTTCTCCTCAGATCGATTATAACAGATTTATTTAAAGGACCAATAGTTCAAAAGGTACATCTTTCACCATTCATATTATTAATGCCCAAATGATTTGGAAGTTGTAGTTCATGTATATCTTTCTTTTCCTGAAGACGTGTTAAAGAGTATTTTTAAAGAAGATACCATGGTCCGATTGTATTTAATAGAAAGAGAGAACCAAAATAAAGATTATGAACTCTTACAAAATTCAGGAGCCTAAAGCTATAAAATTCTAAGATTTTAATGCATAATTATCCAAATGTCATTAGTCAGCTCATAAATAAATGAAAGCATTAATAATTTTAGATAGGTCATAATAAATAATTTCATTTTTTATCACTTTTCAATTGATCATTCTCTTTATAAATAAAACAAGAATTCTCTAATTTTCTTTCCAAAACTAATTTCATCATTTACTTTTTTCCACAAGTGATCTTAACATCAATGTGCGCATGCAGTAGTTGTTTGCAAAAATAAATTCCTCCTTCATATATAAAGAGAATGGTGGTTTACTATTCAAACTACTTGAAAAGTATTAGTGGTTTACTATTCAAACTACTTTTTGTAATATCTCTTAAATTTAATTTGAGATCTATATATATATACCCCTTAAATCAAGGTTGAGTTTACATTTGCCTTTCTCCAAGCGACAGTCTAAATAAAAATGGTTTGACCTAGAAACAACCGATTCTTAAACACACTCCCAACACCAACCTCTTCTGCCCTCAACCTCTTCCTCTGTCCTAAAAAAAATTAAAGCCCAAAACACAGAGATCCTCTTTCGTGAGATATGGGTTCCCCATCTCGATGTGATTGAATATATGAATAAATTATACATGAAAAGTGTGCTCTCAGCTTTGAGAGTTTTGAAGGAGATTAGAAGGAAAAGTTCAACAGTTAGTGTGTTCTTCTCGCCCTGCTTCGTTGACAAATGAAGGTGATAAGAGAATTTGGGATATGAGGATTTGCTATAGTCTGATTGCAACTAAGTTATATTAGGGGGGAAAGCGTGCACAATATGTTTGTGTGTGTTTTTATTTTTTATTTTTATTTTTTTGGCTTCTCAATGCTTTGCTATCAGTTGATGTTTTAGCACACTATAATAGTAGTTGGGTTAACCGGTTTTTAAGACTGTAGTTGAGAATTAACTAACTCACGACGGTAGTTTAGTTATTTGTATTAAAAAAATTAAACGAACTAGAGCAAATTTAGTATATTCCCTGATGGTCTTAATTACAGCGACTTGCTCAAGTTCTTTTCAACACCCTTTGCTATGAATTTCAAGCTATCTACGATCTTCTACATTAACTAAAATTATTTATTGCACCATCTTATTTCTTTTCGATTTGCATGAAGGATCACCTTATGGATAACTGCTACATTTTGGTGAACTAAAGCCCCTCACGTCGTGTTCTGCAATTTTGATGTCCAATAAGTAACAGATATAGTAGTTTTATGTTTTACTGAAGATGCTTTTAGTCCCTCAGTGATATTAATTATTGGCATAAACCGTTTGTTTGTTAATATTCATAAGAAAAGTAGAGTAAACAAAAAATAAAAAAATCAAACAAAAAAATCTGATATGATATGACCAATAATTTCAGATATTCTAATATCTTGACCAAGATGGATCTCTGTCAATGACAGAAATAAATGCATGAGTTGTAATTTTTATAGTGAGTTTCAACTATATACTCTGCTCAGCTATATCAAGCTAAGCAAGACTAATACTACTATTCACTTGTTGAATGTGTCAGGCTACTAATTATCCATATCTGCAGGAATATAAGTCCTAGTTTATCATATACATTACAATGATTAGAACCTTTATAATTGTGTATACATAGACTAGTGCATTCACAATATAACCAACTTATAAATGCCACTAATAGAGGAATACCTCCATAGTTGAACCATTCACACCCAAGTGAGCATTGGATGCATCATCACTTTCTCTAGAAAGATCACAACGAATGGGTTCTCCATCTGACATAATGGATCTAAATTCCACAATTGAGGCACCCAAAAAAACGAGCTTATTAAAGAATTCAAAGACACGTAAAACAGAGTCTGTAAATTGACAGAAACACACCTGATACAGTGAATTTCTGTTGAAAAAGTTTGGAGGAATTCTTCTTTCTCCAACAAAGATTCGCCAAATATGCTCTATATATAAATAAATAAAAAGTATTGGTCATGAACAGTAAGGTAGACCAAGCACATGAATTAAAAGAATGCGAGGATTACCTGAAGAGCAGGTTTCAGATCAGTGATCCCTTTTCCTCCCTTACAGAAGTAGCAAAAAGTTAGTTTCAGCACATCCATCACATTAAGACAGAACTTTTAGTTAATAATCCCGTTTACAGCTATCCTAGAAGTTGCTCTAAAAATATTATTTGATATAATAGATGAGACTAGACATGATTATCAGATGATTCTGAACTTAAGGAGAACAAAGGACATAAAATTCACAAAGTCCCGTTCGTGTCAAACCACTTTAAAATTGCATTCTTAAAATCATACTCAGGGCTAAGCATTTGATCAAATAGAAGAATTAATCAAACAGAAATAATTCTGAGTGCAATTAGACAAATCAGGTTTATTACAGGACATTTTTAGTGCATTGCCACACATTACAATTTCATTAAAAAAAATTATTTCTAAGCTTATCTGGCAAGATCACTTAGGCATGAAACTTAATTGCGCTTGCATGAACAGGGTGTGGTTCCATGTTAACCAAAAGCAGGCATAATCTTTCCCTCAACAAAATGGAATGTATGCAAGTGCTAAAGGAAGAGTCTATATGGATAAACGATATAATAATAACAAACCATAGCCAGTTCAGAGAACGACGAAACATGCACCTTCTTGCCGAAGAGATCAAGAAATATGGTCATTTCTTGAATAACAAGTTCAAATATCACTGATGACAAAAAACCCCATTTTGAATGTTAAACAAAAGAAACATAATTATCAGGTTCTTACTTAAATTTCAATTCAAACTAAATTAATTCATGTTAGGCGAGGTAATCATTAGTATCGCTGTATTATGCATAGAAAATCAAATGGCACTGCAATCAACTAAATTTTCATGAGAACTTTAAAGTGATGCTAATTATGCAACAAAGGAATTTACGATCATGGAAAAACAACAGATTTTACTTACATCAAATGTATTCTCATACGTAATATCAGCAAATGCTTGAAAAGATTTGATACTCATCCATATGTCAATCTGCACCAAAATGTAATGTCAGAAAACAAACGCCTAAGATCATGAGAATATTTTCAACAATGTAAGGTTTTAGTTAAGCATTTCCAATATGCACATGCATTGATGTGTGGGCGTGTATGAATCTTAAACATTATCAAAGAAAGGGGCTTGAATGTATCCCTGGCAACGAGATTAAGACCCTTCCACAGATCTCATCCACTGGACTATGTAAGTGATCACTAGATCTTAAACCAGATGTGCTGTTATTGATGAATGGATCCAGGCATAAACATGGGATTCTGACCAACCAGAGAGAAGGAGGGCAGGAATGGTGGTCTCCATGTTCACAGTTAATACTCCAAAAAGAGTACTATTGACAGAAACTAATAGTACAAGAACATGCAAGTTGCTCTCGCTATAATGACCATGATGACTCCTGGAATAGCTAACTAAAACAATTCAAGCAATCAATAGCATCAACTGTGATTGCTGTAAGGTTATATCGTTTCCATATTTTATGATTGTATTAATACCAAAATTACAGGTCAATCGAAGAAGACAGCACTGTAATATGTGTAAACATATGCACATGTATACAAGCTTGAAGCAGACTCTCAACAAAAATATCAAACTATCAGACATTTTATACTTATATGCACACACAGCACAATGCAACACTATACTAAATAGTCAACATAATGCATGATAGTAATTGCTCCTATCATGACAGATCATGCCAAACAGGGTAAGAATCATAAATACACATTTTAATGAAATTGAAAGGAAAGCTCAAGGTAGTTTATACTATGATAAGTACTATACGTTTCAGACTTATAATCCCATATATTGACATTGCATCTGTAGCGATATTAATAGCACATTTCCCCAATAGTCAACATTACAATTTTTTATGATTAGTCAATATGATTATTTTACACGATATAAAGTAAACTTTTTAACCCTTAGACATCTGATTAGTTCAAGTTAACATGCATGTATTTTTTTATTAGAATTCAAATACAGTAGATGACCTATAATGTAGATTCATTGCAAATTTTCACCCCTTAACTTGGATGGTTTTCTTGGCGGACCTTAGAGATTAAAATTTCAATAGCCAAGACTAGCATCTGACTTGAACATAATAATTATTCATTTAACTTCACATATATCCTTCTCTATATGCATAACAAAGATGTGGGTTGGGGAATGTATTTCTTTCTTCAATTATCTTCAAAATGAGGAGCTGACTTTCCATCAAATTTGTCAATCATAAACCAAGATCCGTTGACTGGAACCATAAAAATAAGAGAGATGTGAGAAAAGATGACTTAACTAATTGGGAGGTATATCCTTTTTAGTAAGTAAATCAAATGTGATCAAATGCAAGACACATGATCTCTCTGACTGCTAGAATTTGGGCACATTGATCATCCGAGAGGTCTATCTGCTAACGTACAACTTAAGGTGATAAGTTATACTGGGACTACACTACACAAAGCTAAACCCTTGCATTAATTTTTGGCCAAGCGTCCCCACACTTCAAATACATAGTGACGATGCAAGCTGTTGTGTTCCATAATTTGAGGAAGCGACTTATGGATAAATTATTAGATTTGTGCAAAGAGTCACATGTACCATGATTGCTTGACCTTTGTTGAAGCAACAAGGCTTTGGCTTTTAAACTGAGTAAATCCAGATAAGCTACTTCATTCAAAAGATAAGTATGATTGAGACCAAACAGGAAGAGAGAGCATTGGAAAAAAAAAAGTTCAAAAATGTTCCTCAGATATCACTAGTAACAATCAATTATGTACTAAATAAAAGTCATGCAAATCATGGGAATCACAACTATAAAAGTTAGCGGTAAACAGAATAGTGACAAGAGTTTAAGCCAGATGGTGATACTCTAGAACCTTTAAGTTCTTGTAACCATATATCTTGCCGTCTTCACCGAAAAACTGATTCAGGTCAACAGGATCAATACAGAAGCTGTTTGTTGCACCAACTTCATCCTGACTTTTCACTGCAGATGGAGAGTCAATCAAATGCAAATAACACCGTAATTAGCCGGAATGCCAATAGTAAGGGATGCATGTGCTCATCAGGAAGAGGTTATCCTTTATCATGGGAACCAAATGGCATGTTAGCACATCCATAAAACTTTATTAATAGATAAGAAAAAACATAAGACTGAAAATTCATAAATCATAATACATACATCTATGCACATCAAAAGAAAGAAAACACATCGTCGAAGGCAATAGCAGGCGTACTTATTGTTCAATGATAAATTGTGCTAACTAACTTAAGACTATGTTAGTCGCTTAATATCATATCGTAACAATATGTTATGCACACAAAAGCTTGCTCATCCATACTCATGAAAGAGAGGGGGTGACAATAAGAGATTGGAGACTCATCTTTAGTTCAATAGTACATTTATGGAATTGACATTGACATAAACTTAGTTGTTAACTTGTTATAAACAGATATTGTGAACAATTAATATACCGGGGAATAAAATCACATGATAATCATTGTTATCTGTAAATAGTAACATGATAGCAGGCATCTACAATCTACAACTATTAATATGCCTATACCAAGTATTGTCTACAAAAGGTTCGCAGGGTCTATGCTTTAGAAATACCAAAGACCTGACATAAAAAACCAGCTTTTCAGACAACCCATTTTGTAATCTCTCAAATGAAGAATCATGAGAACTTCAAAATATTGACTGCTAGCTATATCAAGTTCAAATGTCTCCCTTCATATTCATTTGGCCAATTTATACAGCTTACTGTACAAGGATATAGGGGTGAACCGCCCTCTCTACTCAATCATACAATGTAAAATTTCAGCACTAAAAGGAAATCTTATGCAGACTTTTTTCTTGACAGATAACATGTATGAAAAAACTTGATGGGATGAACATTGAGTATGTTATGTATGGTCCATATGCAACTCTTGTTAGGCCAGAATATCTCAGAATACCAGAAAATGCCCAACATTGTGCTGTTACATTAACAGAATGCAATTGACATTAATAATAGGTAATGACAATACTCTATTAATGCAACAGCAACCCCAAATGCTAACACATGCCACATAAAACATCTTGCTGAGAAATCATTTCTACATATTGCACCCCAAAACCACAACCGCTACTTGAACAAGTGAAGGCCAACCCTGTCACCAAATAGTCCGTAAGCACCCTCATTATATCATAACACCTCAAGGTACCAAAAAATGCAAAAAACATGTAGTCATTATAAACAGAATGCTCACGGAATTGGCTTAGTGATAGGTAACCACAATGCTATGCTAGTTCCATGTACTCTATATCCAATTGGAAACCCAAAAACAATGCCTCGTCTCCATCACGCTTGGTATTTTTGCAGAGCCTTTAGAATCAAAATGTCGAACTTGTTAGGAAATTTGCATTTAATCTCTATCAGCATAATTTCGCGAAGCATCATCCATGAAAAAGTGGTAGGAGGACAGGAATTTTCCACAGCAACAACTAAAAAAAGACTTTTTCTTAAATTTTTGGGGCAAGCTACATGAATATAATTTAAAACACGGTAACTCAATTTATTTCATCTACTACTACAAAAAAATTAGACGGTGCCAAGCGGAATGTTTAGAGACCGACTTAACTTTAAATTGTTGGGGAGCAAACTCTTGACTAACAGCAAAACTGCCATGTTAGAGGTGTGAATATACTTGTACAAAGTAGAAAAGGTGAACTTGGGGATTGAACTAGTTAATCTATGGTTAAAGCACAAGCTAAAACAAAGGTCAGTAACGCATCTTGTGAGTTCTGATCATGTAATGTTGGAGAAAAAGAAAAAATATAGTCAAGTTCATACCCAGGTAAACTTTGATGCACTCATTTGCCTCAACTCCAGCATCTGCATTGCAGCAAAAAAAAGCATAAAATAGTTCAAGTAACAATATTATTCACTGCAAACAAGCAACCATCAAATAGCTCAAGTGTATTACAAATTAAATCCAAGTGGCAGCACTTCAAATAGTTTAATCGACAGCAATTTAAGCACATCAAAGCTGCAATTCTTATTTATGATTGAAATACAAAACACCAACTGTAGAAGTATAACATTATTAAACCTTGTTGAACCCATTATAGGCTCCTACTAGGCAGGTAACAAATAAATGTCCATCAAAATGAATCAAGGTTCTACAACATGACGAAATAAATAGCCATCTAAAAGCTCAAACATATAACAATTAGGTCCAAATTCCTCTCTTTTAATATTTCTGAATGAAACACAAAATAAAAAGTATAAAAGGGGAGGAAATTAAACATTTTCCCAGCCATTATCCTACAGTCTGAAACATAGGCAATTCGTCGAACACAATATAGGCACGCGGCTATAGGGAATTTTTTTAAAAAAAAATCAATACCCGCAAACCAAAACTTATAAAAGCAGCATATTTAAAAACGAAGAAATAATAAACAAACTGAAGTAACTTACAACAAAATTAAGGGCTTTCAGAGTAAAAAATAAACAAGAACGAGATACAAGCAAACGTCTAAAGCGCTAACTAGGTCAAAAATCGAAAGAAATTACATTAGAAAAACAACTCATCGATGAAATGAACACTTAATACGATAGATTCCATCGGTACCATACCGATTCGGGCGAAACCGGCACGCTTGCGTTTCTTCGTTTCGGTCTCAGCATCTGCTTCCTTTCCTTTTAACGCCATTAGCTTGGTTATCGATCTAAATTTGAGAGAAAATAGGCGAATAAATGATGCTGAGAGAACGCCGAATTAGGGTTTCTAGGGTTTAAAAAAAACCCCAAAAGGCCACGAGGAGAGAGGGGATGGAGGCGGGAAATTAAATATATTTACTTAAAGCTCGGGTTGTGATTTTTTTGGTAAAGGTGACGCGTGGTGATTATGTCAGACTCTTCTGGCCGTTGGATTGTGTTAGGGACCATCTGTAAGATTTTTTCGACCGTTGATTTGGAGCTACCAGCCTGGGGCCCACTTGGGAGAGGGGCTCGGAGTTCGCAATTAGATCCACGAAAACTTTGCTTTTGTGGTTGCAGTCAGGGTTGTCCAAAAAGCCCGTCGGCTCAAACCCGACAGGATCAAAACCTGGCTCGGCCC